TCAAGCCCGATTTTGCGAGTTACTGGGCGGAAAGTCCCCTAAGAACCATGTAACTTTCCAAGCTGACTTATAAAGCTTGGAAATTTGACACGGCGAAGCTTCCAACGATTTTCTGAAGATATGTTAGTCTGTTTACCACAGTACAAGCAAGGATAAGAGATTAGTCAAATGTTTCAATTTAAGGCGCGATTTTTTAATCAACTAAACCGAAAATTACCTGAAAACCAAGTAACTTGTCTAGCTGGCTTACAAAGCTTTGAAATTTCACAGCGTCAAGTTTCCAACAACTTTGTCAAGGGATGTTAGTATGTTGTTGTGCGGTACGTGCCAGGATGAAAGATCGAGGGCCGTGAGTCACGGAAGTCCCAATTTGCTAGGCATCACAGCTCTTTCTCACTTTTTCCCGTTCGCCTTCATCATCAAACCAGAGAATCGCGACCGGAAGAGCATTTGTAGGATGGGGGGGGGGGACTACTAAAAACAACTGCCGCCGCCAATTTCCATGCGTTTTTGTTTATAGCCGAGAGGAATTGGGGGAGATGGACGGCAAAAAATGGGAACGAGGGGGAGCACGGACTCGGGATGGAATCTTCCCCTAGAGGGGAACCCAGCTAGAAACATGAAGCTTTTGAGCAACGAAAATATCTGCATTTCAACGCGATTTCAAATTTTTCGGTGATTGATACCCCAAATAAAAAGCTTTTCTGGTTTAAATGTTAAAAAATGAAGACGACTCCTGAATGGGCTTTTTCGTTCAAGGGAAACCCAGCTTGAAACAACAGGCTATTTCTGAAAAAAAAACTAAAATCTCTGGATTTCAACGTTACTTCAAATATTTTGAAACTTTTCAGTAAACTGCAAGTTTTTCAGGTTTAAAGTCATGCGGGTGTCGCGGCTTTTGTTGGGTTTTGTTCAACTGTGGCGACTCCCCCGAGGGCTATTTGTGATAATCTGTCAATTCTGTCTGTCAGAGGAGAGGATGCCCTCGAAATAACCCAGTAACTTATTTAGAAACTTTCAATACACAAAGAAAAGAGGGCAGATTGGCCAAAAATAGAAACATTCCAGTGCCAGAACAGATACTGGATGGGGGTGGAAAGTGAGGGCTAGGATTTCAGTCCTTTTTGTGCCTTCCTGAATACGGGATTATCCAGATAGCCAGGCTACCGTAAATCGAGTTATCTGGGGGTGGTGGGGCTAAATTTTGCCGTGACATTCGAAACTAGCCGAGGGCATAGCGTTTTAAAGTGGGAGTGACAGCCATTGGACGGGACTAAAATACGGCACTTTTTCGTAAAAATAAAAACCCTGAAAACTGGTGCCTTAGCTGGCATCCAGCCAATAAATTTTCGAGGTCCTAGGGGGGATCAAAAAAGTTGTGGACGACGTGGGGGTTCGGGACCCCCGAAATGAGGCCCCTTCAAAGAGACGATTATGGGAATGGCTGGAGAGTGAGAGACAGAGAGAGAGAGAGAGAGAGAGAGAGAGGGAGAGAGAGAGAGGGAGAGAGAGACAGCAGAATATCTGTTCCAAAATCCATCCACCCGAACACCAATCTATCCAATGGCCCCCCGGGCGATAGGTTCAACGTTATTCATTTAGCCGGTGTTCCCGGTTTCGGTCCGGTCCGGCTACCGGATTCGGGACCGCACCAAACATCAAGCTGACCATTACCTACTATCGAAATTTCATAAAATCCCCAAAAAGTAATTTCTGGGAATATATTAGTTTTTTTAGCGGGGAGACTTTGTAGCGTTTGACGATCTATTTCGCACGTATTTCAATTACGCCTGAGAACTTCGTGAAAAAACCAATGAATTTTTCAAATTGAGCAGCAATACCGCTTTTATAACCTTTGAAACTTAAGAAACTGATGAAATCAGATATTTCAGTGCGTGAAATTGCTAAAACAGGCCAAATACGCCCATTTAGGATCTGCGGTCATTTCGGATTTATATCCGCTACGAGATTCCCTACCACATAAAACTGACCGCTAAAGGATATCGAAATTTAGTGCGATACCGCGCATTTCCAACATGATCGTTTTTGGAAAAAGACCTCTAAATCCATCAAAATGGGGAGCAACGCGTCTATTCGAATCTTTAAAAATCAAATTTTTTTTGAAATGCGATATTTTAGTTTTAGAAAAGTTGGCCAAAAAGCTCAAAATTCGACGGTTTTCGCCTTTTTCTCTTTTCAAAGCACGGATTAATTGACAGTTTGCCCAACCGTACCCTAAAGTTGATGATCATTGTTGCCAATGACGTAATTAGTAATCAAGCGGAATTTCCGGGTATTCTGAAGGGGCAGACAAAAAGCCGTTCATCTGTTCTAAAAAAGCCGTAAATTCTGGGGTGGCCGCTCATCGGCCACTTTTTAAGCCCTCATGGGAGAGCGAGAGAAAGAGAGAGAGAGAGAGAGAGAGAGAGAGAGAGAGAGGGAGAGAGAACGCGAAGACCAAAACAAATTCTGCTTTGCTTTGCCCCGAGGATGATACGAGTTGGGAGGGCAAGGGGATGCCATTTTGTAGTCGTTTCCCGGAGCTTTAAAGGCGGCCACATCCGGAAAATAATTCAGAATATCGACGGGATAGACCGGATGGCAGTCAATTTAGACGTTATGACATAGCAAATGGGTTTTCCCGGGTGCCAACGGATGTTATTGGTGCTGTCAGGGACTGATGTCGGTCAGATGGAAGAAAAATACGGGAAAAGTTTTTTTAAGAAAATTAGACTTTCTAGCGTGCACTTAACCGCTTATTTAAGCGAAATGCCCCTCAAAAAATGTAGTCATCAAGAAATTCAGGCGTTACTCGTCTCCGGAAGATATTTTAGTTTTGAATATGGAATGATTTACGAAAAATCAAGATAAAAAGTTATTCTACTAAAAATATACTTTCAAGGTTCAATTGAACCAGTTATTTCAAAGAACTGATGCCCAATGAATCGTAGGGAAACACAAGTCAAACCCTAACTGAATAGCAAAATATTTTAGTTTTGAAAATTAGATAATTTTCAAACAAAACGTAAAACGTTATTTTGATTAAAAAAATACGTTGTCTAGGGTGCTCTCACCGTTTATTTTTTGGAACTGTATTGCATTGAATCATAGAAACAGAAAATCCATACCATACGGAGCTTGCCCAATTCTTTTAGTTTTTCGAGTTTCAGAATCCTCTGAGCCTCTACCTAACCAAACCTCTTCAACTAATCGTAAAAATTTATGAATAAAAAACGTATCCATCGCTTAATTTACAGTATTTCCACGTAAGCGGAACCGTTAACAAATATTTTCAGAAGTTATTCGAGTAGAAGACCACCTGGTCTGCCAACACACAGTGAAGTTCCAGCCCCCCGCTCTGCCCCCTGATTTCACATTTTTTTCAAGGGCTCGAGTTGACTTTTGTAGTTTTACACCTGCAATAAGAGAACCTGAATGGCCTCGAATCGTCGACTATGGTTTTTGAAACTGCCCACATATCGTAAAATTAGTTATTTTAATCAAAAAGTACGGCCGGATACTCGGGACGCAGCTGCTCGGCATACTGTAATCGCCTTGGCAGCGAATTTTTAAAAATACCTGTGCTTTGGTCCAACTGTCATGAGGACAATGTTTTTGCGCAAAGAAAAGTACTGAACTACAGACTATGAAATATTTTAGTTTTCGGGTTGACTAGGAATGGATCTGTATTTCCGTGGTGCTGATCAACAAAATTTTAAGCGACGAATTTCGAAAAAACCAGTGGTTTTTATTCACTGGCATGCACATATTATCTTGAAGACATTAAACCCGCAAAAATACAAACTACAAAATATTTTAGTTTTCGGCTTGGCGCGAAATGCATAGCTGTGGCAAGCTTCCGGGCTGTAAAATAAACCTTTCAGCAATATTTTCCGAAAAATACCAGTGTTTTATTTTAATTGGGGGATATATAGCATTTTGAACTCATTCAACTCGCTAAAATACAAACTATGAAAGATGTTAGCTTTTGGTTTGGAATAGCCGGATTTACTTGGTGCCCAAAAGCAAAGATTTGAGTTATCGATTTTGAAAACAACTAGGGGGATTTATTCACTGGCATGCACATATTATCTTCAAACAATCAAACTCTCTAAACTACAAACTACAAAGTATGTTAGCTTTTGGATTGGCGAGGAATAGCCGGATTCCAGGGGTGTCCAGCCCACAAAATTTTTAAACGATGCGTTTCGAAAAAATACCGGTGGGTTTTATTAACTGCAGAAATTCGCCCTTTTTGAGCAATTCTAAAAATGGCCGGAACTCGAATATGAGTTATTTTTGCTGGAGAAAATGGTAATTTTGCAGGGTTTAGGATCCATGCCAAACATCTGCAAGGGCCATTCAGGATAAGGAACCGAGGGAGACACCCCCGGCTCAAAGAAACGAAAAAAATGGACAGAGGGGTGCCCCGGACAACATTTGATGGGGCAGAGAACGGCCGATAGAAAGGGGCAGATCGGAACTCTATGTACCCATTTATCCCTCAATTGGGTGTGGGAGGTGTTCTCTCTCTGTCAGTTTGTCTTTCTGTCTGTTTCTTTGTCTCTTACGGCATTCAGAACTGTTTGAAATTGTGTTCCAGTTTGCAGGTTGCTGGGTTCAAAGACCGTTTTCAGGGTGTTCGGGGGAAAATTCGTCCTTTTGCCTGTCTGTCGGCCTGTCTGTCTGTCTTTTTGTCTGCCTGCCTGTCTGGCTGTCTGTCTCTCTCTATCACTCTCGTTTTAAACAACTAAATAAAATTTTTAGCCCAAGCCCCTGATTAAAAAATTCTAACAATTTAATTTGTTGAGTTTCTATGCCTTAATTCATAAAAAATACCTTTAAAAAACTTAAGCTGCCGCCTAATAAGCATATTTAATAACCTAAAAGGAATTACTACAACTAACACAAATATTTTGGTCAAGCCGTGCACATCCATATTCCATTTATTACTATGTACAGTTGCGTAATCCCGCGTACTCTCACGTACTACAGTATTACTCCAGCTCATCAACTGGAGGAATACAGTACGGTATCTCATCTTCACACCGTCCACAAGCGAAGCCACGGATCGGAAGGGACGCCATGTTATCGGGTAGCATTCTGAAAAGAATGAAATTTTCGTCGACTAAAATACGTTCTAAAGTTTTTTAGACTTTTGCAATGGCTTTAATTATGCGTAGTGTCTTCCAGAAACGTAGTTTAATCGGTTGTCTTGTCAATTAAATGTCATTCTCCCGTTAAAAATCGCCTTTGACCCGTGAGTAACATGAAGTGATGGATTTGGGATGGATTTTAGTGTTTAGCCGACTAAAATACCTTCTAAAGTTTTTAAACGTGTTCAAAGTTCCTAATTATAAGTAGTGCTTTACAGCCGAGTAATTTAATCGGCAGTTTTCGCAATTTATTGTCACTCTCCTTTAAAAATCGAAATTTGACCTTTGGTTAGCGCGAATCGGCGAGATTTTGAATACATTTCAGCCGACTAAAGTACGTTCTAAAGTCTCTTGGATTATTCTAAAGGCCCTAATTAAACTTCAGACGTTTCAGAATAATAATTTAATTGATGGTTTTGTCAAATAAATGTCATTATCCCTTAAAAGCCGACCTTGGTTCCTTTCTGTAATACCAACAATATTTTAGCCGACTAAAATACTTTCTAAAGCCTTCTAGATTTCTCTATATTTATTAGTTCTACTTACTGGCGCACAGAAACGCAATACAATTGGTCTTTTTCTGACTTTACTGGTCACGCTCCCTTTAAAAACCCACTTCTCTCCCTTCGGCAGCATGAATTGATGAGATTTGGCGTCAGAAGATACGGTCGGTCCATCAAGAGCCAATAAAATAGAGCAACGACTGCCGTGGCATTGACCAATTGGAATGATACGCACATCCTGCAAAGGAAGAATGTACTGATGAATTAATGAGGGGGGAGTCAAATCCGCGTCACAGGGCTTTTAAAAATTTCCTATTTTTTTCAAAAACTTGAGAAAAAGCTAAAAATTGACTTTTTAGCTGTAAAAACCTTCGCAAATGTTTAACTGGCATAAAGTAAATGTAAATTTAAATAGTTAAAATTATAAAACTCAAAATTACTAGATTTTCGTTTTTTAAAGGGCTAGTTCAGCCAATAAAACAAAAGAATTTCCGCGGCCAGGAGTCGAACCCTCTCTGCGTTTTTGTGTCTGCGCCTCTCTCATTTCCCCGATCTCTAATAGCTGTCGTAATGGGGGACTGTTCGGGCGCACTGTGCCTACGTCCATAGTTTCCCAAGGTACCAGCCCAAGCTCTAAAAGTTGAACTAGCCCTTTAAACATTGCTAAAAACCAACCTTATTGCCTTTGGTTGGAGTCAACTCAATCTGTCTTCCACTATCCGTCTCGATACACATCCTCTTCGGACACGAGAATAGACCAATTGTCTGACAATTAGAGGGGGGGATACGGTAGCAGGGCATGAGATAGTGCAATACCTGTTGAAAACCCGTATGGACACCGGCCTTTGGAGAATAAACGAATTGGGTGCCAGATGAGCATTTATTGCAGTCATCTGAAAGGGGAGGGGTCAGATTGGTTCGGAATGGCTGCTAACCTGCCCTGTTAACTGTCAGCCAATGAACGTTCTAGAAAATGTTTGAACCGGCTTTCCCAAATAATCTCCGCTAGCTGGCCCAAGACTTTTTGGTCAAGTTCGCATAAGAATTAGGGTTTTTCAGAAAAGAAAAAGAATCAAAGCATCCCTGCTAGCCTGCCCTCCATTTTGACTATATTTTAGCCTACCAGACAACGCAACCAGCTCCTTCAGTCCTCTATTGTCTTCCAGCCGAATTGCTGCCGCCGGGATGAAGAGCGAGGGGCGACGTCGCGACGGCTAAAATACGGTATATTCTATCAGATTTCGACCAATAGGTTATATTTAAAGTCTTTTTGTGCCAGTTGAGGAATCCAACTGGTTTTTGGCAATGAAAAAATTATTAGAGCGTGGCAAACGATTATCGGTCTCTGAATTCGAGGTTATGTCCGTCTGTCTGTCTGTGTGTCTGTCTGTCTCTCTGTCTGTCTCTCTCTCTCTCTCACCTTGCAAGGATCGATCTCAATCGGCTTCTTGCCAAACCCGATCACTCGATGTACGGTAGGTATTAAGATATCCTCATCGTACTTGTATGGATTCGAACTAAAATATTTTATCAGCACAAATGTCATCTAAAATAATATTCTATTTTCATCTTCGCAGGTCAGTTTACAAATTTATCGGGTTTATTTAATTGTTAAAGGGTTAGTGAAGGCAGATTTCAATTTCAATTTTCAGAATTGAACTTAGAATTCCGAATTTCAAAAAAATTGAAAAACTTTGTTTTCTTTTAGAATGTCGATATTTTTTGGCATTTGCCAACAAACCCAGGCGGTCCAGTTTTCGGTCTGGCAGCTATGAAACTGAAAAATAGTGTAAGAATAAGCAGAATGAATTTAAATGGCATCCTTAGCCGCTGGAATCGAGAAAGTGGGGAGATTCGCTTTCCGGCTCTGATTTTGGGTCAACGCACCCTTTCCCCCCTCGAGATAAATCGAAATGGGTAGTGGTGATATTCCGATTTTCCGGTCGGCTTCCGGATGTTTTAGGGCTTTCCTTGCATACCAGTGAAACGTGTTAGTTCGTGAAAATGATTTAAAAACTGAATTTACCTGGCAGAAAAAAAATATTTCTTCTCACTGGGTGTCAGTTCAGGATTTATCCTTATATTTAAAAGTTTATATTTTATTTTGGATGTAAATGATATTTTCTTGCCCCAAAATGGGCGCCCGGAAAAAAACCTGGCCGATCTATAAACTGCCTTAAATCTTTTTTCGTCTTGTTAAATAGTGAAACAAAACTTAAAAAGTAATTTGGAAGATTTTAGTTTCCTTTTCCGGACATATTTATTTTAGGCTTATCATTGCCAAAAAATTAGCTTCACATTAAATTTTCGCCGAATAGCAGAAACGTCAATAGCAGAAGAGAAAAAATAGCAGATGTCAATTTAGCAGTTAAAAGTTCAAAAATTAAAAATTTTCAATTTTTAGACTCCCAAAAATTGGATCGGATTTCCACGAGTTAAATTAAGATATTTTTGTTGCCTGGATGACAACTTCGCACATAAAAAAGTTACAATCTAAAAAACCAATTTTTACAACGATTTCCAGGGCTAAACTCTGGCACTTGGGTACTGGGGGCTGTCCTCCCTGGGCACCCCCTCTCTCTCTTTGCCCCCAGCCCCACCCTCTCCTCTGACGCGCCATGGCCAAGTGGCTAAGAGGTCTGTCCTCTCGATCCATAGGTCCATGGTTCGACCCCCACCCGTGACGAGAAAAGCATGCACCACGCCTAATGTGTCGTGTGGATAAAAATGTTAACCACAACAGCTGAGGTTTCTTTTGGTTTTGGCCTTGTAAAATGTTTTACAAAGCCGGGAATTTAATTTTAATTTTTAAATTCGGGAAATTCAAAAGAATGAATCATTTAAGGTCTAGAATTATTTTTAAATAATGAAAACAAAATGTTTGGCTAAAATGTAATTAAAATCTAAGATTTTAATTAACTAAAATACGTTAAACTAAATTTTTATTTAGGTTTTCATATTTTAAAAAGTCCATTGTTAGCCAGTTAGCAGATACCCCCTGTTTATTCCAGGTTTCCTCCTTTTTTCCAGGCGCCTCTCGTCGATTTTGATTACTCCATCAAATCCAATCCCAATATTTCGGGGTCAAAATACGATTTTTTACACCCAAAAGTGATCTTCATTTTCCCAGACGCGAAAGCGAGGCACAAATCAGAAGTACCACCGGGTACCCTCCGGCATTTTCGGCCATTTTCGGCTACAGCTGCTCTTTTTGTGCATAGCAACCGTGTGGGCCCCTCGGGGGAATTGAACACAACGAGAAGCCGGAATCACACAGGAAAGACACACTTTGTGGGGTTTGTGATTCGGGGGGAATTAAAGGGCGAGTCACAAGTGAGTCAGATTTCCTCAAGGATCACTGCTAGATTGCCTAGCTTATTTTTATGAGGCTGCAGACTACAAACTGCCATCAACCCTGCCAGAAACCTGCTCCTAAATGCTTTCTGCTGCCATGCCTTGGCCGTAGGCTACAAACTACGAGAGAAAGCCCGGCAGGGAAATTTTTAAAGAATCTCTGCTAGCTTTCCTCTGGGCTACAGGGCACAAAGTCAAAATATAACTAAAATCGGCATTTTCGATCCTAAATGGTCTGTGCTCGCCTACCTTAGCCCTGAATTTCCTTGAAAAACTCTGAAATTTGACCAGTATACGGTACACCATGCTACAAATGACACCTCAAAAATCAGTTTTTCCTGGCGTATTTCGTACCGTAGACTCCTTTTTGTAGATGATCACAAATCACACAAATCACAGCCCCGAATTCCAGCTGGGACCCGACCTTTTTGCATTTTTTACTTTCGTAAAAGTTCACGCCTCCAATTAGGGGCACTACCGTAACCCCCCGACCACCTGGAAATTACGAGTTTTTAGGTGGGAATTGTAGTCCCCCAGACGCTTTCACGGCAGACAATTTGCAGCAATGACTAAGAATCTGGCTGAGAAAGCTAGCAGAGACCATTTAGGATCGAAATACGTCAGTCAGAAAGCTGGGAGATGGCCAAAAAACTACCTAAAATAGGCAGAAAAATCAACATCTTGAATTTTTTGAATTTGCCAAGTTGCTATTCGTAATTTGGACAGCGGGCAAGATGCGGAATAAAATTTAAAAAAAAAATAATTTTAGCCGAACTACGGTGGTTGGTGTTTTTTTTGCGAAGGTTGAGATGAGTCAAACGACCTGATAAGAAATATGACTCAAAATGGGACACCAAAAAAAGCTAGAGAGACTGTCAGAATATGCATTTGATGGTCAATAAAATTCAGAACAGAGCAGACAGAGAGAGAGAGAGAGAGAGAGAGAGAGAGAAGTGGAAGAAAAGCAAAAAACAGCTGGCTAGGCAGAAAATTTGTGTTTGGAGGTGATGGAGCAGTGGTTGCGACTCAGAAATCATACCCCCTCGATCCTATAAAAGGAGGGAAAAGGCAAATATGCATGTCAGTTCAGTTATTCCCAGTTTCGCTTTAGTTTTCTAATCTGTAATTTTTGGGCAAATTCGAACTTTTAGAGATTTTGGATATTTTTCGAAAAATCGAAATTTATTTGTTGCATTATTTATGTTTTCGGGGCACGCAGGCTAGCAGTGTTTTTTTGGGAATTTAAAGAAGCCCGCCTGGTAGGGGTTCGTTAAATTAAGGATTAAAGGGGTAGTAACAGCTTAAAAATTACTTACAAATCCGGCGACTAGCAGCGGTTATTTAGAATTTTTTACCTTATCGAATTAAGGCAATCTAGCAAAGATTTCTAAGGAAATTCCGATTGGCAAGTTAGCAGGCATAATTTGGGAATTTTCAGAAGAAATACAGCATAGGTTTTTGGGATTAAAGGGTCATGAAGCCAAAATTCTTAGGGGCTAGCTAGCAGTGAAAATTTGGGAATATTTCTAGGCAAGCTAGCAATGATTCTTGCCAGAAATTGGCCGTATTTATGAAAATCTAAAGATTCTAGAAAATGGCGATCGCAGCGGAATTCATCTCTCTTCTTCCGGTGGAGACTCTACAGGGGTTGGCTGCGGTTAATGAGGACAAATCGTTGGATCATATGGTAACAAATAGTCTGGAATTTAAATTATTCTTTTCAAACCATGCTTAAAATTTTAAAAAAGAAAAAAACCCCGCGACGCGACACGCAAGGCGCAGACCTCATTTGACCCCTATTTAGCGGTCGTAATCGATTACGCCATGGAAATATATTAGGCAAGTAGCATGTCGCGCAGCGGTAAAATTCATAAGTACAACCACAAATACCAAGATCAGACGTCAAGTACCGTACAGTTGCGTACCGTAGCGTATTGTAGCCCACATTTTTCGACATTTTTCAGGGCCGTTTCGACAAGGTAGCTGATCTGCTCATTGCCCTCCCCCAGGATATCCAGGTTTGGATTCTCAATTTTTTAAATACCCCGTAATTATAATTTAGGAGAAAATCCTTGCTCTGCCGCAATCGCCGCCAAACCCTGCCGTCCCTGCTGATGTTCAGGTATCTTCCAGAAATCGCAAAATTTTTCGAAATTTTGCGATTTATCATTATTTTTTGGAATTTTGAATTTATGTGGTTGTTTAGAAGCAATTCGACGCGATTCACGCGGAAAAGGGTCTCTCCCTGAAGGGACGACTCCAGAAGACACGGGTAAAATAACCGCGCATTTAAATAGCTTTAAATACAAATTTTTAAGATGTCGACATTTTTCAGAAATTCAGTTTCTTTTGTAGTGTCCGTACATTTTAAAGGTAATTAAAAATTTATCTATATCCATTTTCAACCCGAATTTTTTGGCTTGAAAATAGCGATTTAAATAATTCACAATCTAATGTTTAAATTGAGCGAAATCTGCAAAATTAGGCTCCTTTAAATCGCCGTCAAAACATGCCCCAAGCTAGAGTAGTCCAATTCAATATTTTCAGGCTGTACTGGCGACCCTGCCAGCCGATGTCCATGAAAAGATGAATGCCGTCAAAGCTTGAAATTTCGAACGATTTAATAAATACTGTAATTTCACCAGTCCTAACACCATATTTCCCTGAAAATCACTGCTAGGTTGCTAGGCGTGAAAAATTAGATGTGCAATACCTGGGGCCTCCAAGGATCTCTGCTTGCTTGCCTCTGCATACTTCCTAAAACGCTACCTTTGAAAATCACTACAAAAAAATTAAAAAGACAAATCTATCTACAAAAGAATCACTGCGTCCCCTTCCAAATTCTGCTCGTCCGGCCACAAACTACAAAAAAGGTCGGGGCCCGGCTCTTCCTCTTTGAAGCCCACTGCGGCGCCAATTATCCCGACAAATCGTCGGGTAGCGTTTTTTTGGGGTGTCTGAAAAGCGGCAGAGGGGATAGAGAGACAGAGAGAGAAAGAGAGAGAGAGAGCGAGAGAGATAGAGAAGGAGAGAGAGAGGGAGAGCGAGAGAGAGGCAGAGAGACAGACAGACAGTCAGCCGAAAAGGTGTGAACCAAATCTCCCGGGAAACCGTCCCCAAACACACAGAATTCCCCAATTTTTCCGATTTTTCGTCCTCTAGAAGAAGCCCAAAGGGCCCTACAAAAAGTAGATGTGCCCCCCGGGGGGCACAAATCAGAGCCCCGGGCCCTGAGGGTATAAATATCGGCCGGGTGGGCCCTAGCAACTCATATCCCAACCAGGGGCTTCACCTGGATAGCTCGGCTTTTCTACGATTTTATTACGATTTCGCGAGAATACTCTTTACGGTAGTAGGACCACCGTAATCAGGGTACTGTAGAAATTGCCGCGTACCTTTAAAACAGAGTTTTTCCATTTTTTTTTAGACCGTGATCCGCTATGTCACTCAAATTTATCACGATTCCGCCTGTTTCCTCTTTACAGTAGTCGGACTACCGTGATCTGATTACTGTAGAAAATGTCACGTGCTGTCACGGTGCCTTTAAAATTGAATTTTCAACTTTGAATAGCCGCAAGCATTGACTAGCCCATTCTTCAAGATTCCACGAGTTCCTCTTTACAGTAGTCGAGTTACCGTATTCCAGCTGCTAGGAAGGGCCGACTGTCATGACGCCTTTAAACTAATACGGAGTGCTTTTTTTGAGTCATACGCAAATCATTTCCAAAGATAGTGCATTTGATACAGAATTTCATTCTGAGTAACGCTATAAGGTTCATTTTTGCAGAATGGCTGTCCCCGATTTTATACAATTAAAAAACTAAATCGGTGTTTTCCTACATCGCTCGGCGCGCACCGATGGGATCACGCTCGACCGGGACAAGGGGGCCTAAATCGCTTCCCAACCACGATTGACGATAGCGCAGTCGGTAGTGCTGTTGTCTTCAAAACTTTTTTGGACTTCTCTGGGAGGTTCGATTCTTCCAGGTGCAATTCCTTTTGCTTTTTGAATGTTTATAGCGGTAAATGGCTTTTTGGCTTCAATGACCATGGAATCCACTATATTAGCAGGCACGACTATAGTGAAATCCCGGTGAACATTGACAAGGCTCGGGCCTGGAGACTTCACTTTGATCAACTTTGAAGCAATTGCCAAGTCAAAAACGCAAAAATTACATCCCTATGTATGGAAACGCAATTGACCATAAAAAAGCAAAAGAAATTACATTTGGAAGAATCGAACCTCTCAGAGAAGCCCAAAAAAGTTTCAAAGACAACCGCGCTACCGAATGCGCCATCGCCAATCGTGATAGGGAAGCCATCTACGCCCCCCTTGTCCCGGTGGCTAAAAAATGAACCTTATCGCGTTACTCAGAATGAAATTCTCTATCGAATGCACTATCTTTGGAAATGATTTGCGTATGACTCAAAAAAAAGCACTCCTTATAAGCATACTTTTCAGTCTGAATTTTTTCACATTTTTCAAGCTACCGTATGCGTGTTTTATCTCTCTTCAAAAACCGCAATAAATTTAATTAAATGCGTTTTACAGTACCCTCCCCAATCCTCACAACCTCCTTTTCTGCTGAAATGTCTCACCATGCTGAATTCATGGCTGTCCTCCCCGAGGATGTCCGTGCCAAGGTCAAGGCCCTCCATGCCGATGACTCTCTTGGACATTTGGTACGTCAATTTAATATGCAAGTACGGCAAACCACTCACAGTACGGTAGGATACGGTATCATTTTGTAGCGTATCGTAACGGAATTTCGATTTCACTGGATTTCGGTACTCTTTGCATTTTTCTGGGTTGAAATACGGTATAAAAATGTAGATTTCCCGTCGCAATCGCAAAATACGACAAAGCACAGCGGCGTACGGTAGCGTACGGTGGCGTACTGTAGCGTATCCCAACGTACAGTAGCGGAATTCATGGATTTTACAGTAATCCGGAATTTTTCTGATTTTATAGGCTCAAAAATGGCTTAAAATTCGTATGAATGCACCAGAAGTACATTACTGTAGCGTACAATACCGTAGCGAAGCGCACTGTAGCGTACTTTAACGGAATTAGGATTTTGTCGCCATACAAAAATTTTCAACTTTTCCAGGCCAAATAATCGTGTAAAAATTGGAGATTGCGTGGCAGAATATGAAAGTACTACATATATATAGTCCGCTACGATACGGAGGCGTATAGTAGCGTACAGCAACGTAAAGTAGCGTACTCACGAAATTTTAATTTTTTTTTTTCCTTTTTCAGGAGCGTTTCGACAAGGTGTCTGATCTGATTCTGTCGCTGCCAAAGGACAATCAGGTATATTTTCAGTACCATATTTTTATATGCGATTTTTCTACCGTAACCCAGGCTACAGTATCCCTTTTAGGACAGGCTCCTCGCCCTTCCCCAGCCCCCATCAAACGCCTCAGTCCCGGCCGAACTCCAGGCCAAATTCGACGGTATCCACAAACTGCCAACGCTGAAGGAACGATTTGCGAAGACCAGGGTACGGCAGCATTTCTAGAGTACGCTAACGTAACCCAAGACTTCTCTGTCTTTTTTGACACTTTCTGATCTTGAAAATTTCAGGAGGTGATCGCCTCGCTCCCGGAAGAAGTCCGTGACAAGATCCGCGCCGAAATCAAGTCCAAAATGGGCCTGTAAACGCGGTGTCGTGCGTACACTTACGGAATTTTCGATTCTTCTCAAATGTTGATGGAATAAAGATTTTTGTAGCGACGACAGAGTCTCAACGCAAATTTTATTATACAAACTGACAGCCAGCGAAGCAATTTGGGTAGAGAAAATCGAAAAATGACAATTATTCGGTTGGTTACGGTAGGATTACAATCCCGGTTTTGGCTCCAGAAAATTTTTTATAGCGGTTCTAAATTTCTGAAATGCTATTTAAATTTGAAACTGGGATCCAGACTACAAATTTATTTGGTCAAAAAGAGATCCAGAAATAATGCATGGGGTTGCAGTGGGGGTTATGGTATCGGGGTACGGTATCTGTTTACGGTATGATTTCCAACATTCATATTTTGATAGTGTGCTTCATTTGGCCCCTGACACCCATCAGAAGATCTTTCGGCATCGACGCGATCACTTCCTGGAAATTGGAGGATACTGTGGTTTGCGGTAGGCTACTGAAGGTTACGGTAGCGGAAGCACAACAAGGATGTGGCTCAAAATCACCACACCTTATTTTTAGCAAGTTTTTCACGGAAGCTAAGCGTCGAATCGTTTCGAATGGCATCCATTTTGGCCTGGAACATTGAGGAAATTACGATGGGTGTAAAGAGGTGTACCTTGTACTCCGGGACCCCATCGAATACCGTAGGCGGCGGGAAGGCCATGATTTTTTGCTGAAAAAAGGGTACGGTAAGTGGGTACGATAGGAAATATTAATCTGCTTGATTCCTGAAAATTTAAAAATTAAAACTAAATTGGTATCTTAAAAAGTGATGTCTTAAATTTTCAAAAATTACTCTAAAAAAATTATTTTACTATTTTTGTAAATTCTACCATACCCTGAGACGCGAAAACCCCAATTAATTGCAAACAATTTACAACAAAAAATGCGAAATTAAAATTCGGTAACAATTGAAAATGTGAATTTCAAAATATTTCTCAAGCTTCTACCGTAACCTCTGCCCCAAAAAATCGACAAACAGTAAATATCGTACCTGTACATCCGGGGATAAAGCGAGCAGAACCTGGCACACCTTCTCGTATCGCACCTAGAAACATTCTGGGTTTTTAGAGGTTTAAAGGGACTGGCAACGGTCTCTATTGATTTTACCGCGTCGCGACATGCAACGCACACGCGACGTAACAATTTTAGAGAGCCGTGATCCATTACGCATTGAAAATAGTGGCACGCGTTGCGTGTCGAGGCGCGGTGAATTTTATATGATCCATAGAAAGTTGCCTTGTAAGTTCCTTTAAAAGACGTTTAAGGGAACTGCGTAGTGATTCTACTTACAAGAGGATCCATTTGATCGTCATTATGCCAGACAGAAATCTGTTGAAGGGCATCTGGAGGGAGGATTGACATGATGGACGGGTGGAACGGCATCCCTACTGTTGAGAACTGGAAATCCTGATTTTAGACAGAGAGAGAGAGAGAGAGAGAGAGAGAGAGAGAGCGAGCGAGAAAAAGAGTGCGAGATAGGTGAAACGGCCGGATTTTCTCGATTTCTTCAAAGAACCTCTGCTCGCCTACCCCAAAAGCAATTCCCCAATGAATTCTGTTAGCCTGCTCAAAAATCCTCAATTTTCTCTGCCGGCTGGCCCATGAATTTTTCAATTAGCTCCGCTAGCTCGTCCATAAATTCCTCCAATTCTCTCCGCTAGCTAGCCAAAATTTCCCCAATAACCACTACTGATTGCCCTAAAATTCATCAGTGCTCTCCGCTAGCTAGTCTCGGGTGAAAAGTCATCAATTACTTCTGCCAACTTGCCTAAATTACCGAATAATCTCTGCTAGCTGGTCTAAAATTCCTAAATGAGCTCTGCTAGTTGCCCCAGAATTTCCTAAAAATCTCTGCTTGGCTGCACCAAATAAAAATTCGTAAGCGCTCTCTGCTAGCTAGCCCGA